CAATGTGGAAATAAAATAACGTTATACAACATTTACGATTATGAATCGTTTTATAGCTATGTAGAGGTGTGAACATCAGCGAGTGGCAAAATAAAGGAATGAAGCATGGTCTCGAATATGTAGCTAAAAGAGAATTGTTGAAGTGAACCCTTCTATGACTAACATCTTAGTTATAGAGAGACAATTAAAATACATGTACGTGTTAAAACAAGCAAAATAACCGGTAGTCTGTATCGTATTTTACCAGGTAACATAGCACAGAAAACAAATATTTTGACATACTTTAAAAAAGTTTACAGCTTGCAAAATTAAAAAAAAAAACGGCCAATCTAGCGTCGCTGTTCCAAGAGGCCCAGGGAAAGCAGCAAATTGTTCAATCAGTGGAGACAAATGTATTCTGGGAAAATCGGTGTAAAACGTTGTGCGAGAGTGCTTAGAAATTGAGGTACACCAAAAGGAAAACAAAAACTTCCAGCTAAAACTTTTCAATATTTAGGATTTTTACTTTCCTAAAGAAAAACCTATAGTCCTATTAAGGTCAACTATATGTTGTGTAAATAGCATAACAATAACGTATATTAATCAAAAGAAAAGTTTAATTTTATGCTAAAGTCGGAAATCATATTTCTTTGCTGCGCAGTGACATGTATTATAACACTTGCCTCACAATGCGCGCCATGCTGATCAATATAGACAACCAAAAAAAGTTCCTATTCGATGCTGGTGTCATGAAGCTACTAAATATCACTGTCCCATGTAAATCGTGCAATTTTTTTCACTGGGTGCCATGGATAGTAAGTATGTTAAAAATATTCGCCATGGATAAAGTGAGTCACCACTACTACTCAACTTTGGGTCAGCCAAATAAAAATCAAAGAAAGCTTCGAAAAAAAACTTGAAGGTATTCATGCCGGAGGCATGAAGAACAAATACTAAATTAAAAACACATCTTCAATACACATAAAGCAAAAATTTGGATTATGGCATGCAAAATCTTTGAAATATGTCTTATTTTGACCATAGACTTTGTCCTATATTTTTACAGTAAGCACTTCTAACGTGCTTCTAAATGAGCAAATACTGTATTTAAAAATACTGCAAGCGATAATTAAGTTTGTTCCAAGTAGATATGGTTTAACAATTATAAATATTTATGAAATAATTACCATATATGATGACTTAATATCTTGGTTATACATCATGTCAGACCACAAACTTATAGCACCAATTGCATGTATCTATCTCTAACAGTACTTTGTACATTACTGTTATGCATATTAATAAACACATATGAAACTAATAGCAGGTAATTAATATGCATGGATTTCAATCCTGAAATAATCAGATATGTGGATTATTTAAAATCTCCTATTCATTAAAACATGATCAGTGATACTCAAGATATCTGTGGAGCCCGATAAATTGTTTAATTTGTCAAAATTAAGTAAATAGAAAGCACAAACTTTAACACTAAACTGAACATGTATATGGCTTATCCCTAAGCATCTAATACGTATCAAGTTTTATTGACATAATTTCAATGGTTCTTGAGAAAAAGGTGGAAACGCTTAAAATTGGCTAATTAATATGGTTAATTAGATAATCGGTATGCATATTATGCATAGATTTTCAATAATACTAATCAGTACTGCGCTTTATCCCGGGCATCTATGCACTAAACAAGTTAAAATGCTTAAGTCCAATTTGGGTAATTTCAACCAGAACCTAATCAC